GCAGGCCCAGCCCTGCAGCAGAGGGGAGGAAAGGGGGAGCAGGCCTGGCCCTGAAGGTGAGGGGAGGAGTGGGGGGTCAGACGCAGGCCTCTGTCCCTGCCCACACCCCACCCCCAAATCATTCTTGATGCGCAATTGGCTAGTACTTATAGAACCTCTTATTGTCGTTAACATCTCTTGCCAGGTGCAGCTCATTTTTTACCTTTGCCTTCCTGATTTTGTTGCTTCAAGATCTTGCTTTTTCCTGGTATGTTTCCCTGATGACTTTCCCATTGTTCCATGACCTGTATGCCTTCCTTGTGTATTTGAGGCACCCTAGATACTCCTTGTGGAGCCACATTGGTCTCTTATTATCATGTTGGACTAGCTTCTTGTTGGGCTTCCAATACTGTGCCCTTTAGAAGCTTTCTAGCCCTTCTGGGCACCCTTAATCTTTCAGACTCTCCTCCCATGTCACCATGCCTATTATCTCTTTGAGTTGGTCGGAATCTGCCTGTTTGAAATCCAGTGTCTTAGTACTGCTGACTTCATGCTTCCTCCATCTAGGTTCATTAATTCTATCATATCATGATCACTTCCATCCAAGTTTTCCATCACCTTCACATCCTCCATCAGTTCTTCCCTTCTGATCAGGACAAGATCCAAGATAAATGATCTTAGCTGTATCCTCAACTTGCTAAAACAAAAAGTTGTCCTCCACACAAATTAGAAACTTGCTTGACATGTTATGTTTGGCTGTACTATTCTTCCAGCAGATGTCCATATAACTGAAGTTTCCCATTGATACCATTTCATAATTTTATCTTCTTTTTGAAGGCTGCCTCATCTACTTCTTTTTCTTCATATGACGGTTTATAATAAATCCCACCATTGTATCACTACTGGCCCTTTCACCATTTATCTTCACCCAAATATACTCTTATCTCCTACTTTCTTTCTCCTGAACCAGGGAACAAATGTATGTATTTTTATATATAAGGAAATGTCATCACCTTTACAATCCTGTCTTTGAAAAATAGCATAGTTCTCAATGTTGTGTTCCAGTCATAAGAGCTGTCCCACCAAGTCTCTATGATACCAATCAGTTCATAGTTCTTTTCACAGGCCACAGCCCATCCTGTTTGTTCCCCACACTTCTTGCATTTGTATACTGTATATGCATTGGACGTATTTTACATTCACATCTAGTCCAGCCCCCTGCTCAAAGCAAGAATCAACTTCTCTAAGCCAGCCCAGCCAAATGTTTGTCTCACCTGCATTAAAAACTTCATTTCTGCAACCTGGTGGCAGATAGGGCAGGAAGCAGAAACCAGAGCAATAGATTGGTAAGGAAGCACTGGGGTTCTAGACCCTCTTCTCCAGCCCTGATGTACCCTGAGAGCAGGAAAGTATCTACACTAAACCTGTACTGTTGCAATTTTGGCCCAGTACCTCTTGCCCTGCCCCCTGTGAGCACAGAAAATGGTTGAGCACCATCATTGTTATAACAATTCTTTGTCTATTTGAAGAGTCATGTCAAATCCTCCCTCTGCACCCCCCTCCTGCCCCCATCTTCTCCAGACTAAACAACTGTAGGTCTTCCAATCTCAAGTCCATTACCGCCAAATCCCACTTACCTGTTGGCTTGTTCTCCTTTTGTCCAAGCCCCAAGAACACAGCTGACATAGAGCCAATAAAATTGATGATTGTTACGGATTTCTCCTAGCCGGCTAACAACGAGGACACCACTGGAGACAAGGAGGGTGAGAACGCTGGTCCCACTTCTGAGCTTCTGGGCGAAATCAGACAAGATGACACACCCATTCTGGAGAACAAGCCACAGCCTAAGGAAGTTTCTGAGGAGGAGGAAGAGGACAAAGCAGCTTGGGAGAGAGAAGCAGAGGACCAGAAATTTTCACAGGAAGCTGCACAGGTGAAATCAAGTGAAGAGGAGACCACAGGCTTCAGCCCTGATGTGAGAACAGCAGACGAAGAGGAGGCTAACAGGACAAGCAAGCTGGGTGGGGGTCCTGAGGAATACCTGCTGGGAGGTTGGGGTGCTGTGGAGCCAGACACCAATATCACGACTGAACCTGTGGAAGCAAACACCACTGAGCCAGTGCCAGCACCAGACCCCATCTCCCCACATGTTGTGTCCCTCATTACGCCTCCCCGGTGCACCCTTTCCGATGACCCATGGAGCACCTGCGGTTCGGTCTCATTGGAGGATAAAGCCCGGGTGGCGAGGGCACTGACCGACTTTGCACTGAAGTTCTACAAGGCAGCAGGCCAAATGGAGGGCATGGGTACCAACATGGTTTTCTCACCCCTCAATGTGGCGCTGGGCATCTCGCATCTCCTGCTGGGTAAGGGCAGTGAGTGCATGCACAGCCACTGAGCACACACACAGTGCGTTTACATGCACAGATCTTTACACAGTCCCCTACAAACAGTCATTATTTATAAGCATGCACGGCTATCATGCACATACACCTGCTGCATGCTCACACAAAACCACTGCATGAACATACAGTACACACTTATCCTACATACAACCATCATATACATAGCCGGTGAATGTGCACAACTACTATGCACACATGCGTGAACACACAGCCATCACTCACGCAGCTACAGTACACAGCAGAGGCACATGACAGTCACAGGCATGTATACAAATCCCTACACACAATAGCCATGCACGCACAACCATAATACAAACATCCACAATCTTTACACACATCACAGCTATCTGACCATTATATATGTGTAGGTGTCAGCCACCTGACATGTATGCATACATAACTATTTCATAGGCATATGCAGCCACTACACAAATACAGAGCCACTCCAATCATGCACACGTATGCTCAGACAGGCATGGCACACGTTACCACCGCACAATCATCAAGCACAAACACCTCTGTCTACAACACATACAACTGCTTATACAGTCACTGCAGCCAGTCACAAGCATAGGCACAAACACATACACAGCCATCTCTGACATGCAACCATTACTACTGTACACTGTTTTCTCACATCCAATCCCACCCCCTGATACTTCTTTCCTCCTTTCCCAATCCCACACCAATACCACAAATTTAGGCCCCTCACTTACCCTCTCCCATGTCTGTGGGCTCATGTCAAGACTAGGCCCACCAGCTTGCCAGAACAGCACACCTGGATCCTATTTCCATTGGCCATGGTGCCAGCAGACCTCCTAGGACAGCAATGCCTCCTGGGTGTCTACTGGCACAGAGGCAGGAGGGTGTGTTGGGGATGTGCAGCCCCAGATAAGATGGGAGAGTGCCTAGCTGGGCAGGGGTACCCTGGTAAGATGAATCTCCAGCCCAACTCTTGGTTACTATTACCTATCTGCCAAGCTGTTGTCTCAGGCTAGCTCTGCTACAGGTGCAACTGGGATCCTACTGACCTCTTCTCAGACCTAGTCCACCCTACCCCTGCTGATCCTCTCTTCTCTCTGTTTCCTTGTCCTTCCCTAACAGGGGCACAGGGTGACACCAGGGAGCGGCTGAGCAGTCTCCTCTCCTACCCTCCAGATCTCCCCTGTGTCCACGGACCACTGAAGCAGCTCATCAAATCCAAGGCCTTGCTGACTGCCTCCCAGATATTCCATCGCAAAGGTGAGCAGCTATACAAGCCAGGGTATAGCTGCTCACCCTGTGAGTTGCTGTGGGTTTGGGGTCAAATAAAGACTTTGGTCACCAAAGAGGCAGGGGTGCTGTGCGCTCCCCTCTGCACACGTCCAGTCACATTACAAGTGGCAACTGTGGCAGGCCAGTAGGGGGCGCTCATGCATTGAGCCACCCACCTCCCTGTGCCCGACCACCTTCCAGGCTCCAAGTGCCTCCCTAGGGGTGCCTCACATCTGGCTGACCCCCTTCCTGGAGCACACTCACTAGCCGGGGGTAACGTAGCTGCCACCACCCCGAGAAGGGACTCTCTCGGCCCTGTGTCCTCAGGTAAACACAGGCCTAAAGTCCTACGAGTACTCAACCCAGTACAGGCACTTGGGGCACTTCCCCAAGTCGGGGGTCAAAAAGGAAAGTCTCCCTTAGTCCACAGACGTAAGGGGCCTCTTAGGCATAATTTAGACCCACCCCTCAATAAGTCTCCTACACCGGTCTCAAAGGAGAACTTTATTGATTACAGGGGTAGGGTGAAAATAGGGTACAAGATAGAGTAATATCATAGAAATCCCATAGAGCAAAACAGTCTGGCTGAGGTAGCCTTTTGATCACGCATCTGAGTTTCTGCCAGCTAGATATCTAACCAGATCTCGAGTAGTTGACTCACAAGCATCATCCAGAGGCTGCTGGAGATTCCCTCTGGAGGCACGCCGTTCCTTGCTCATGAGTTATGGGGGAGAGAGCCAGTTTCAGATGATAAAGCTCCTCTCTAAGTCTGAGTCCCCCGCATGGCTGTGCCCCCTCCTCCTGGGCAGTCTTAACTTATATAGCCCCTGTGACATCATTCACCTGGTCCAGTGGAGGCCAGCTCCGGTTGGCTGTCGGCCAACCAATTTGCAATACATCACTAGTTGTCAGGCAGACTCTAGCCCACCAGGTAGAAGCCCCCCACCCAGGTAGCTGATACCAGTCACAAGGCAGAGGGAGCAGGTTTCCCCCCTCCCTCAGGAATGTAGCCAGCTCAGATTACCTAAAGAGATAGGGTAAGGGTGTGTCTCCTCTGCTGGGCCCATCCTAATCAAATTGTCACAGCACAGAGATTTTGGGGAGAAACAAAGGTGGCTTCCTGCCACAGCAACATGTCCCAATAAAACTCCACAGCACCACTTAGGTAGCGGAGCAGGGTGCTGGTCTGATGAAAGTCACAAGATGGGACTGTGATGATACACCTTTCCAATGCTTGGTCTGTGATCAGTATCCCAACTTTAAAACGTACTGCATCATTGTTAGTTTCATGTTGCAGTTCACATTAGGACGTGCTGTTGCAGGCAGCAAGAGGGTTTGATCTTGTTCTTCATTTCTCCCACTAGAACTAGTCCTTGGTGCAGCAGCGTGAGACCTGGATTTGGTCTAAAATTTCTGAAAGAGGGAGTTAGCCCACATGCTGTTTGTGGCCATGTCTGTTCCAGGACTGGGGCAAAAAGTAGGAATAAACAAGTTACACTAATATAAACATATAGATTCCATGCTATTGGTTTCTCCCCCAGTGGGAAACCAGAGTCCTGAACATCTGCTTCTGCTCAGCAGAGGGGCAGACAGAGATACAAGGACAAACTTTGTCTTAGTGTATCAGGTAGATGACATAGGCACATGGAAGGAGGTGGGATTGCCTTGGCAATGGGGGTGGGTTCAGAAGCTTCAAACTCCTCATCTTCATGATCATGGCTTTCAGGCCTGCAAATAAACAAGGCCTTTCTGAACCACTCACGACGCTTCAGTGACAGCCGGCCCCAGGCACTCAGCGGCAATGAGACCCTGGACCTCCAGCGCATCAACAAGTGGGTGAGCGAGAAGACCAATGGCAAGATCAAGAAACTGATGGAGGATCTGGCAACTGATGTCCAGCTGGTATTGCTCAGTGCCATCTACTTGCAGTGTAAGGACATGGCACTGCATGGCCTGGTGGGCTTCCTCCCATAGAGAGCCACTCCCCTGCCCCACAAGGGACTTGCCCCCAAGATACCTACATCCCCAGATGCACACACTCCCAGGGACCCACATGTAAGAGACCTGAATCCTGTGGAACTAACTCTTTGACATGCCGGTGCCCCTTGGACATCCCCACCCCCCATACCCAGCACCCTGGTGACCAGCCCCATCAGATAACTGGGCCCTCAGGGACTGTCCTCTGAGGTCGCTGAGCTTTCAGAGATCACATCTTGAGACCCCTTCCTCAGAGGAACCCCTTAGAGCTACCCCAGCCTCTGAGACATCTCTCATGAGACCCCTTGGCTCTGCCCTATGCCTCGCCAGCCCTTCCAGCCATACACCCTAGCTGTGTCTCCTCATTCTCACCCTCCAGCTAAATGGAAGACTACCTTCAATGTGAAGGACACCCAACTGGAGAATTTCTACCGCCAGGATAAGAGCTCTGTCAAAGTGCCCATGATGACCAGCAAGAAGTACCCACTAGCTTCCTTCACTGATTCCAGCCTGCAGGCCAAGGTAATACCAGGGCACTGTCTGCCACAGCCTTCTTGTCTCAGCAGCAAGTCCTACCTGCTCACCTTCCATATCTATGCCACTTTTTCCTTCTCTTCCTTCCTTTTCTTCTCTCCTTCTCCATTTTATCCTTCACCTTTGCATCTTCCATCTCTCCTGCTTCCCAGAAGAACTGTTGTTCGATGCTGGCCCCTGAGTTCCAGATCTGTGCCCCATCTCAGTTACGTGAATCAGTTTCACAGAAGCTGAGTCAGGGCAGGGAGGAGGGAGTGCATATTGTAGGTCTGTGTATGGGCAGCTGTTTGCCTGGCAAGGAGTTTCTTCAGTTTGATTTTTCCTAGAAAGTGCCCAGAAGCAACAACGATGGGACGCAAGATAAAATTTTATCTTAGATTAGATGCAAGCACTTCCTGATCCACATTTCAAGTATACCAGTAGCCTGGCACACACCCCATAACTTTCATAGGAAAGGTTTAATTCTCTGATAGTTCCATGCTAATCATTTTGAGGTGGAAGGAGAGGACTGGCAAGAATGGATATAAGTGAGAAACCAATGTGTTATGTTTTCAAAAAAATCAGCACCAAAGTTAAAACAGTTATGTTTTACTTAGTTAGAAAATCTGTTTTCAGTAAGAAAAAAATAGATTTTTCATTTTAAAAATTGATTTTTGTTTTTAAAAGTTCCTGTCTTAGAGCAGGAAAGGTTTTTTCCCAATAACAAGAAAACAATTTTTCTATTAGAAATAAATATGTCTTTTGTTATTAAGAAAAAGATTGATTTAAACATCACATTTGAGAAAAGTATGCTAGGAAGGAGGAGTATTTAAAAAAGTAATTCAGGCAAAGAAAAAAAAATCACATTTTTCAATTTAAATAATCCAGGGGTTTTGGGTGTTGATACAGAAGAACAATTTGTTTCCAGATTCTGTCCACAAGTAGATGAGCAGGGTAATTCTACCACAAATATAGTTGAAAGGGATTTATTCCATTGAAAGAAAAATGATTTGAATGAAATGCATCATGGGTGGGAGCTGCCTAGGCTGGGAGTGGGATCAGCAAAGCCAAGAAAGGGAAGGGCAGGAAGGCTTTGAAGGGGACAGCACTGACTGTGGTGTAAACTGTGTTCCCAGGTTGGGGGCAGTGTATGGAAAGGCAGTTGTTATTTTCTGAGACTAAAGACAATGGCACAATGCTAGTTTGCAGGAGCTAGTAGCCTGGAGGGAGATGTGGGAAAATGAGGAGCAGTGTGAGGAGATGCTAGAATCAAAGCATCCATGGCTGTAGAAGATCTGGGTTCAGTTGTGCCATGGAGGGTTGTGATCAGGGGACACGTGATCCTAGCACAGGATAGGTACTCAGAAGCATCTGTTCCTTCCCCAGCTTGGCCGGCTGCAGCTGTCCAACAATATGAGTCTGGTGATCATCATTCCCCAGCGCTTCAGCCAGATACTTGCTGATGTGGAGGAGAAGCTGAACACAGAACTCTTCTCAGCTGTGATGGACAAACTCATGGGCATCCCGTTCAAGCCCACTGTACTGACCATGCCCAAATTCAAGCTAGACTCTTCCCAGGACCTTATGGCCATCCTAGGGGAAATAGGTAAGCACTGGGGTGGGTGATCATCACTGGGGCATGGGTCAAAAGGGTTGGATGGGGACTGCCCTTCCCAAAGCATAAAGGGGTTGCAGGGCACCCTTATGTGGCCAGCCCTATATGGGATGTTCCTATCAGTGTTACGCAGCCACTGCCCAGGAGCTGCTGAACAGGTGGGGTGGTTTGAGGGAAAATCTGCAGAAGAGAAGACAGGCCCTGGAAACAGGGTCATTCCACTCCTCAGGGATGCATGGAGACCAGTGTTTGAGTTATGACAGTTCTGTCCAACTTCCAAATGGCTGGGGGCTGCCTGTCCCACAGCCACACCACCAGAGGCTGCATGCCCCACAGGATATATCAGGGTGAGCCGCAGCCCCCTTGAGCTGCACACCCTACAGACCCACCCACCCCCATTGCACTTTGTGCCCCAGGCTCACCCTTAGCTCCCTGCACTACTGCAGCACTGGCTGCAGCTACTGTTGTAGTTGGAGCAATGGGGGAGCAGAATCCTGGGAGCCATAATTTAACCCCTCATAGGCTGCATAGGGCCTGTAGGCCACCATTCACACAATCCTGGGTTATGACATCACTTCTTAGAGGGGGAACAGCTGACCTATGACCTCAGGTGCCCTCAGAGACCTTCCCCCAGATGACCCCAACTGACCTGGCTGACCTGCCCCAGAAGCACTGATCCCTGCCTGGCTGATCCTGAGGCATGTGCAGCTTAAGTGATCAGGGGTACTGAGGGATCCTCTCCAAATGCTCTCTCTATGGCCTGTTTTCCAGACTACGGCCTCTTCTTCGATGCCAACCTGTGTGGCATCTCAGAGGATGAGGAGCTGGCGGTGTCAGCTGTGCAGCACCGGGCCGTGCTGGAGCTCAGCGAGGCAGGGGTGGAGGCTGCGGCTGCCATGGCTATCTCGGTGGCCCGCAGTGCCTTGTTCTTTGAGGTGCAGCAGCCCTTCCTGTTCCTGGTGTGGAACGACCAGCATGGGTTCCCCATCTTCATGGGCCGGGTGAACGACCCCAGTGCATGAGCCTGCCCTCTCTGTCCATCATGCTTTGGGCACCCATGTGGCATGCACCAGGGCATGGGCACTCTACATGGTGGCTTGTGCAGAGTAGAACCTGGCTGGCAGGAGGAGTATCTGTTTGTCTGTCTATCCCTCCTTTCTCCATCTATTCCAGTTCATAGCATCCATCTATTTACCTAACCAGCTATCTGGGAGGGAGTTTGACCTAGCGGTGAGAGTACTGGGCTGGGACTCAAAGTACCTAGGTTCTGTTCCCAGGTCTGTCACTTATCTGTGCAAATCACTGTACCTTTGCATGCTCAATTTCTCCAGCTGCATTATGGGGTGACACAAATTGTCATCAACAAAGAGTAAAAATTGTGACTTGTCACTATTGATCTGCCAGTTCCATGTTCCCTGTTTCTGAGACCCTAGATTCTCCCCCATGCACATACCTTGTTTCACTCTCTGCTCAACCAGCATTTTTCAGCTCAGGCCTACCAAATACGCACAGATCAGGATCCACCCCCCACCCCCCAGCTGTATTCCCCCAACATCAGCCTTCACCTCTTGTTTTTCCCTTTTCCCCCCCCTACCCCTAGACCTGCCACCAGTGAATAAATTTGAATCTATAAGCTTCCTGGGCTTGTGTGACCTTTTCTCCAAGGAGCCACATCTAGAGGAGCTGTACCTGGGGAATGCTTCCTAGAATGGAGGCTTGGGATAATTCCACTGATCTAGTTACCTCCTTGGGTGGGAAATGCAGTGGTGCAGGGGTAAATAACACTGCCAGGGGTAATTATTCTGTTACCCCCAGGTGGGAGCTGTAGAGGCACAGGGATAGGTAGCACTACAAGAGGGTAATTATCCAGTATGTAAATGAATGACCCCCACAGCACCACCAGATGCTTCCTCTTCCCCTCACTGACTCTGCTTCTGTGCCACCCCCTCGCCTCCAAACCCAGCATTAGCACCATATACAAGGGGATGACCCATGCCTCCATTTCTTCCTCTCCTTTCACACACCCACCTTCCAAGTAGTTCAACCCAAGCACAAGTAGCTCCACACACCTAATCTAGCAGTAGGAAACTTCATTTAATTTGCAAGATGGGTTTTGATTGGTCTATTAATCTGCTAAGTATGTTCCACTGCAATATATAATATACTCCAATCAATGGGAGTGATGGATGTAAATGAGCTGAAGGAATGAAACATGCAAGTGTCTGGGGATTAGAAATAACAGGGGTTTTATGTCAAAATACAACTGCCAGCAGTGATCCCCAGTGTGGCCTTTGGGCATTACAGAGGTGGAAGGTGAAAGAAGCAATAGATATATTTATATCAATGTAATACATATATATTTGTAGCATCATAAATACATGGTTATACAGCACAGGTCAAAGGTGGGACACTTCTTATTCCAGGTCAGTTCCTTCCTCTACCCCTTGTCCTCCTCAGCCAGGCACCTGGTGTCCTGTTAGGTTTGGAGCACTGGGGAAAACTTCATAGAATCATAGGAAAGTAGGCCTGGAAGGGATCTCAGGAGGTCATCTAATCCAACCTCCTGCTCAAACCATAATCATTTCTGCCTAAAACATCCTAGTCAACTGTTTGTCAATCCCAGGGGTGTTGAACCCCCTGGGCCCTGGGCTGGATCCAGACCAATGGGCTCCTTTTGGGGTGGATCCATGGAGACAGCAGCAGCAGCTGCAGCAGGTCTGTTCAGGTCATGGCACAAGTCTGTATTCAGGTGGCAGCATGAGGCCGAGGCCAACAGCAGGGGACAGGCAGCAGTGCATAGCCCTTGCTTATCCTCCTGCCACCTATGGTCATATCCACTGGAGCCCCAAATATGGCAGGAGATCATACCTTACTAGCCCTGCCCCCAGCTTCTGGTAGTCTGCTGGATTAACAAGGGGATGGATGGAATGGTTTCACAGGCTGGATCTGGCTCATGGGCCATAGGTTTGATGCCCTGGTCTATCCTATTCTTAGACACTTCACAAACAAGCCTCCCAACTAGCAAGCACAATGCTTAAAGCATCAAAAACACCCTAACTTCCCACTAGTGAAGCAGGAGGATAAGGGTGTTATCAATGTCCTTCCCCTGTAAAAACAGGAAGTGGTTGCTAAATACACTCCAGATCCATGGGAAAGGACCAGGCTCCACCCCACCACAGTGCCTGAGTGATGTAGGCTTCTCTGGCCCTTTCTTCTAAAGAGAGTAGGAAGCTTGAGTCTCAGTGAGATTTACATTCCTATGTCACTTAGGTGCTTTCAAAAATCTGACTCATGATCTCAATCTGGGACCAACTACAGTACTCCAGTGCGCATGTGCACACCACACCAAGCATACCTCCATGTGTTAAATTCCTGCCTGCAGGGTCACCCTGCCCATCTTGTATACATACATACTGGACCACTGCATGCAAACACACTGTATAGACATGCTGCCTTATGGGAAACATGCCAAACACTTAGACCCTGCCCCACTCTGTCCACACCCGCACATTGCCTCCTTGCACCCACCCCAAACATTCACCACCCCTGTCAGTTTGCACACATACATACCTTCCACACATACACTCATCACTCTTTTTGCACACACATACCCTATCTGTTGCAACTCACACACATTCATGCATGTACACACCCAAAGGCATATGCACAGCAGCACCACGCCTGTCCTCAGTTACAGGGGAACCGCAACTGTTTCAAGTACTCCAGCAGCTCCTAGAAAAGCTGAGGCCCCTTGGTGATCTCACTCCACTTGCTGTTAAAGGACCAGGTCACATTGCAGGCAGTGCTGGAGCCCGTCCGCTGCATCTGGGGGCAGAGCAAAGACAGCCAGAGCATTAAACACCTCTCCACACAAAATCCAGCTGTGCAGCACCTGGCTTCAACTGCCCAGCACCCCTGTGCCTGACAGGTCCCAGGGCTTCTTGGTGCTGTTTGAGCATGGAACTAGCTGGACTGTAGGCACCTGTCACCCCCTGAGTGGGTTTGTTCCCAGCCTCTCAGTGCCCTGGTGCAAGCCCTAACGTTGAGCAGCAGGACTGGCCACAGATCTGTGCTGGAAGCTTCAGCAGTGGGATAGCAGGCAAGTTAGCTTTCCATGTTCTCCAGGAGGGCATGAGGGCTGTTCAGTGATGCCCAGAGGCACTGGCTGCTGCCAGCTCAGGAACACCTGCCCAAGTTATGAATCCCTGGAAAATCTCAGTTTGCACAGGCTCATTAGAAAATCCTTAGGACCCAGCAACTGAATGATCAAGATGAGGCACACAAGGCAAGCTGCTGCCTTGGTGCCACACACTAGCTCTGAGAGCAGGGAGGAGACAGTTTCCTTGGGCTTTTGCTGTCTATGTGGACAGGGTCAAAGGGCTGGGAGGGACAGAGGGGAACAAAGACAGAAGCAGGGGGAAGGGAACGGGGAATGGAGGTGAGGACAGGGCAGAAAGTGTTTTAACCACTGGAGCACACTGGGGATGAGCCCATCCTGCAGCCCAGGAGTCTTGAAACTCTGCTGGCCATCAACAGCCATGGAAACCATAGGCCAAATATCTCCTATTATACAGACACCTTGTTCTCATGGAAGATAACAGCTGACTACTTTGCAGGGCTCCAACCTCTGGGCTCTTCAAGAAAGCTGAGAACTATTCAGGATGGGAGTAAGCTGGGTGTGTTCAACTTCTGGCCCATAGGACTCCCCATGGGTGTGGAGATTTGGCGGCAGAGGCCGCCCTCCTGTTGCCAAATCTCCAGACACATAGGAAGTACCAAGCCCTGTGCACTGGATCAAGTGCCCAATCCCAGCAGGCAGGGCCAGGCAGGGGTCCCAGAGTCCAATCCCAGTGTGAGGGACCAGGAGGGGGTGGTGCCAAGCCCTCCTCCTATGACCCAATCCTGGTGGGAGGGGGAAGTGCTGGGCCCCCAAGAACTGATCGCAGCAAGGGGGGGGGGTGAGACGGGGTGGCACTGGACCCTTGGGACCCAGT